TATACTCTGTAGTGACTCTGGGTCAGCCCATTAATTAAATAGGGGTGCACAGCATGGCTCAGCCAATTAGTGTATTCATTGAGTCTGTCTTGTGGCAGGTCTGTCTTTGGGAGTGAACCTCCTGGGCTATTCTATTACCTAAAAAGGGGTGATGAGGAGTTGTTGTTTTAACAATGTGTGGTAGTATTGGGATGTGGAAGTTTTGGGATATAACCTTTCAGGACAACGCCCGTCACGCTAGTGACGTAAGCACATGGCAGTACAGTACGTAACTGTATCGACGTACGATCGCGAGGCCAACGATACAATACATGGATTTACACCCTGTGTCGCAACTCCTGTGTCAATATATTGATGTAAAACTTGTGAATTTCGAACAGAAACTGTCGAAATATACATATCATGTCGTCTTCCCGGTTGGCTATTAATAGCAGAGACTTCACATTGCTACCAAGCTTGTATGTTCCTCCGGGTTAGAATATTGATCTTCAGTAACCCATGCTTGTCTTAAGAGGCGACTGACGGGATCGGGTGGCCAGGCTCTCTGACTTGATTGACACATGTCATCGGTTCCCAAGTGCGCAGATCGATGTTCATGCTGTTGATCACTGGATTGTCTGGTCCAGACTCGATTGTTTCCAGACCGCCGCCATATAGCTGGAATATTGCTGAGTTCGGCGTAAAACTAAACTCACTCTGTCATATATTCTACAAATTTAATGTGATTTGTTGATTAAACACAGTTCACGGTTAGCTTCTGGGGCTCTGAGCCAGTTAATATCTAGTCACAACACGCCCCCACTGAAACCCTTGTCATAACATATAGCAATATCCCCATCTTCGCTGTCTGAGGTTTACAAACGAACGGATCGGCGTTGTGAGTTTTCTGTAGGAAGGAAGGAAATAAGAATAAAGTATTATTTAAAACAACAACATAAAACAATATTGTGTCCTCTTTCAATCATAGCGCCTCCAGTTCTCGCCGTGCACGGAGTAGCAGCACAGCATCAACAGTATTTTACGTTGTCATTTGATTAATCAAACACACGTTTAAGGCCTCAGTAAACCAGGAAGTGTAAAGATAAACAGCTGAGAATATATTCCATGAATATCACACAAACCACTTATACAGTATATTACAAACTACAAACAGTTCTAGATAATGTTTTCTCGAACTGGAAATAGGAATATTTAAATTTAAGAAAGTAGGAATATGTATGAAATTAGAGACACCGTGCAGCCACATGTGTAAACAAGAAACCACCCGGCCACACGTGTTAACAAGAAACCACCCAGCCACACGTGTAAACAAAGAAACCACCCGGCCACACGTGTTAACAAGAAACCACCCGGCCACACATGTAAACAAGAAACCACCCGGCCACACGTGTTAACAAGAAACCACCCGGCCACACGTGTAAACAAGAAACCACCCGGCCACACGTGTAAACAAGAAACCACCCGGCCACACGTGTAAACAAGAAAACCCAACCCGTGTAAACCAAAACACCCGGCCACACGTGTAAACAAGAAACCACCCGGCCACACATGTGTAAACAAGAAACCACCCGGCCACACGTGTTAATAAGAAACCACCCGGCCACACGTGTAAACAAGAAACCACACGTGTAAACAAGAAACCACCCGGCCACACGTGTTAACAAGAAACCACCCGGCCACACGTGTAAACAAGAAACCACCCGGCCACACGTGTAAACAAGAAACCACCCGGCCACACGTGTAAACAAGAAACCACCCGGCCACACGTGTTAACAAGAAACCACCCGGTCACACGTGTAAACAAGAAACCACCCGGCCACACGTGTTAACAAGAAACCACCCGGCCACACGTGTAATCAAGAGACCAAGCGGCCACTGGAGCTGTGTATCGTGGTCTAAGCGGCGAGGCGACATATCCCGATACCAGTTTAATGAGGCGAGACGATATATCATGAAAGTATTGGCAAGGAACCTGCGAGACGATTATCATCACGATACAATGGTGGCGATACGATACGTATCCCGATACTTTACAATTTCTAATAGCAGAACATATATGATAGATAAAATGACTCAATCTTTTTTGTTATACAGCAGATCTTGTGTTACATTCATAGATTAAGAACCTGTTCATTTAATAAAGTTTCAGCATATTATGCTCAAGAAAGTACAGTCAAACATATTCAATATACTTTGATCTAACATATATAAGTTTGAAACCGAAGTTTCCTTTGGGAAGATGTGTTTCTGAACCGATGCTTTCACAAGCAATTGAATCATGTAATTTATATCAGAATTCAGAATCACTGAAAAAAACTCTTAAGTATGCTTTCTAAATGTTATCTTCTCTTTGTTCTCTTTCTTAACAAAGCTAAGACATCGTTCACAGTTGTTAATAAATGGTGTTATTTGTCAAGCAACTGAACCATATTTCAGTTACTTGGAGACAAGTATTCTACAGTTCACAGAGAGTGATTTCACTTATACAGCAACTTCCTTGTCCATGTAACAAAGATAACAGACACAAACAAATTCCTAAAAGGTTCAATTGGTTTTAAAATTCAAAAGAATTTCAAAGAGACTCCCTTCCTATTCCTAATGCAATATTCCTGACAACTTTAAGTAGTATTGAAGTTGTATCGGTATATATCGTCTCTTGTGGCGATACATCGATGTATCGTGGACCCTTACGATATAAATATCCTGATATATTGCCTAAATGCGTTTTGTATCGATGCACTCGTATCGCGTACTTGACGATGCAAACATCGATACTATCGATGAATCGTTACACCCTTACCGGCCACACGTGTAAACAAGAAACCACCCGGCCACACGTGTAAACAAGAATCCACCCGGCCACACGGGTAATCATAGGATGCCACGAAAACGAAAACCGACAGAATGAAATCTACAGTTTATACGAATATATAATGCATATTGATTTGAACTGATTACCATGTTATTTTATAAACACATATATTTGAAGTAATGTGTAACGATATGTATCTGGCTGAGCTCAGCGACCGATGGTTGGTTGGTTGGTTGGTTGTTAAACGCCGAACTCAGCAATATTCCAGCTATATGGCGGTGGTCTGTAAATAATCGAGTCTGGACCAGATAATCCAGTGATGGACACAATGAGCATGTATCTACACAATTGGGACACGGTGACATGTGTCAACCAAGTCAGCGAGCCTGACCACCTGATCCCGTTAGTCGCCTTTTATAACAAGCATGGGTTACTGATGACCACTTCTAACCCGGATCTTCACGTGTAAAGCGATGTCCAGATATTCATCTTGACATACTAAGGGAGTGTGAGTGAGTGAGTTAATATTTAACGTCACATCGTCAATATCTCAGCCATATCGTGACGAAAATAATTTATACAATAAATAGTGAAAATACTTTGAAGATTAAAACCTGTCAACGATGGACAGTAAAGATACTAGAGAATCACAGCTATGAATATAAAACTAGCGAGCAAAGCTAAAACATTCCAATTAAAGAAGACAATACAGTATCAAAGACGAGCTATAGATCGCCAGCTTCTGAAGGTAGATCACCATACTAGGAACCATGGGGACTTACATTACTTTTGCTACCTGCATGGACCCTAGCTGGATTTACACAATCCCTTCAGCCGCTGGCGAATGTAGGAAAGTTTAGCCGACAGTTAAAAGAACAAAGATACTACGTTTACAATATGGTAAATTTACATTTTACTTTGAAAGGTTTTGGGACTTACGTACCCTCTCAGAAGGACAATAATTTTACTTTAACCCCCTTTGAGGGTACAGCCACGAACAATCTCAGTTACTAATCTAAATGACCAATCTTAAAAATATATCTATGTACAAAACACATTCATCAGAATCCATCAAATAGATCAATTTCTTTTAAAAAACCAATAATTATATGAAAATTAACAATGGTGATAAGGTCCTTCATTGTTTTTACATTGAAATATGTATCCCTTATGATGGAGAATTCAACACAGTCAAGCAGAACATGTTTGACCGTGGTTCTCTCATCAGTAAGAGTAACCGATATAGGGTTTTATTTCATGTAATTTGTTAATACCTACTTGGAGTCCCACTTCATTTGCATCAGATCACGGATATAAGATCTAATAGCAGCCTTGTAATCAGAGAATGGGATCAGAAGTGGTGTCACAGATTTGTTGAGTGCTGCCTTCGCAGCAAGATCAGCCATTGTGTTCCCAGAAATGCCAACGTGGCTGGGTAACCAACAAAAGACGATGCCGCATTGGCCAGTAGCAAGCTCATTATACAATTCAATACTTTCTAATAAAAGTGGATGTTTATAAGAAAGATTTTTAATAGCCTGAAGACACGAAAGAGAATCGGAAAAGATTATGTATTGTTTATATTTACGGTGTTTATTAATATATTTAAGAGCTGTTAATATGGCGTTAGCTTCTGCTGTGAAAATAGAGCTATTATCCGGTAATCGAGAAGATATTGTTCTGGATCCAACGACAGTGGCACAAGCCACTGCGCCACCATCCTTGGATCCATCTGTAAACAAGCATTTGTATGTATAATATTTACTTTTTCATTGATTATATTCTTGTCTATATTGTAATTCGTTAGTTTCTGATTTTTAAGACTTAGTCAGTGTTAGGTCAAGTTGTGGCCTCACTTATTGCCAAGGAGGAGAAGAAAGAAGACGGGAAGGAGATATATTCTCCAACTCAATGCCAGCAGCAGAAATATATTGTTGGATTCTTATCCCAAGACATACTAAGGGAGATAATGTATAGGCTGTAGATATTTCAAAACAAGAAAGTATAAGGAACATGAATAGAGAAGCGATCCATGCGAGACTGACACGGCATCTCATATAGTTAGGGGGAGTTCACTCCATGTATCGTTTTTATCGGAGAGTATTTGTCTTATACACTCCCAGGATCTATAACACAATGTATATGTACACAAATCTACTGCTTTCATCTGATGGACACACGCATCGGCCAACTTGAACATTATGTTTTCTTTTTACTGACTTTAGTTTATGTCCATGTACAGAAAAGTTCAACAAATAGCTTTTTTGTCACCTGAGACGCTTAGTGTCAGGAACGGCAGTCCGGTTTGTACATTAATATCCGCTTCACAATTAACAGATATACATACATGTGGTCTTCTTCCTGGTCGGTGCGGCAGTGACACAATGGCGGTGAGGGCCAGTGTTGTGTTTTGGATTGCCAGTCTCAGTCTTGCAGCAGGTCAGTATATTTTTAACTTCCATGGGTCTCGTTAGTGTTATCTTGAAATATTTCTTGAGACAACGAACGGAATACCAGATACCACTCTTGGGCCTGATACCTGGCAATCACACTGTAGCATGTAAAGTCTCGTTTCATATAATATATATATAAGTACCTGTTTGAAGGCGTCGTATTAGAAAAAGACTATTCTCGCGATCTCATTTGACAAAAGATAAACCCTTCATTGTACGAGTAAATTAAATTATTTCATGCTTTAAACCCTTCCTTGCTCAAAGTAGTGACGCGTAAATCAAGGAAAGAGGCTTGAGTAGATTATGTTTAGAACTGAATACAAGAGTCTTGTAATGAAGTATTGAAAAGTGGTATTTCGTCCAACTGCGCTACATGCTATATGGCAGTTTATCCATATTGTCAGTGTCGGGGTATCACTAACGCAGTTGACTCAAGGGACAACTGTAGTCGAGATACACATAAGTTAAGCAGCTATCGTCCACAGTTAAACTCAAACTATTCATTCCATGTACACACGTCGATGTATGGAGACACTGACTCGCCGCGCCTCACTACCAGACATTACTTCCTGCTTGGCTGTCACTGGCGAGTCGTTATTGTGTGACGTGTGTCACGTTATTGTGAATACTTATAGGGGTGTTCACAATACCGTCACACGTGAATATTTCTGTGTGAAATAAGCCGAGAGGAATGTTTTGTTGTCACTTTACAGAACTCTTCACTGTGGTTTGTTGTGGAAATTGCCTGCTAATGATTTCCACACCGCTGTTGGAGAGAACTCTGCGCATGTCACGGTATCCCCGTTATATTGGTGTTTAAACTGGTAAAATTTGTTTGACTGCTTCTCCCTATCAAAGTGCAAGTGACATAAGTGTTTTTACCTGTGGAAAACCGTATATTGTTATATAGTACATATATTTCAATAACTTTCAAGACTAATTAAGAAAAGGGTTCTACCTTGACGTTCTAAAATGGCCCCGCTGCCGTGTTATTGCTGGAATATTAAAGCGACGCAAAAACACACTCACTCACTAAAATAGGGATCGGGAGGATCCCCAGTTGTTAATTTCAAGGTTCCTCTATACAGGATATACGTGGGTTCTGTAAAGTTTCAACGATGTAGATTTCTTTACTGTAAGATTTGATGATGTTTATAATTGCGTATTTTTTTCTGTTCCTTTTAATTAATTAGGTACAATTAATCTTATTATGCAAACCTTATGGGACGCAATATATATATTTTCTGCGTCCATTCTATGCCATTGTGTGTATTAGAACCGTCACGTAAAAGAACAGTTACTTGATGTAATTCTGATAAAAAGACACCAGGACTGGGGTGTTTGGTGTATGGAGACGTTGTTAGCTGGGTGGACAGCTATATACAATAAACAAAATATACCGTCATGAACATGTTCACGTTAAATTATGTAAATATAGGCTGTCGAAGATAAAACCGTGTTATTACCGCAGTTAAACTGACATGTGTGAAACATGCATATTCAGTTCCTTGTAGACAAGCGTTACGCTAGGCTGTTGCATACAGACAAAACACCACGCGTAGGACTTTGTTTGAACATACTTCACGACGCCTTAGTGTTCGGTAGGAAAATATGTCACAGGATCTTCCTATGTGTGTATAAACCCTACACACCGGGACGTCCTCATGCAACCCGATATGTCGCCACACCATCTATGACAGATAATGTGAGTGAGTGAGTGAGAGTGAGTGAGTGTTTGAATGTGAGTGGGTGAGTGGGTGAGTGAGCGAGTGGGTGAATGATCCATGAGTAAGTGGATGAGCGGGCGAGTAGGTGGACGGGTGAGTTATTGAGTAATTTCAACTGGGTGATATCTGGATAACCAACAGAAAGGCTAATCGTTATCGTATTTGCCAATGGCAAGGGCATTATGTAACTCAGAATTTGCAAATAAACTTGGATGTTTACATGACCTGTTTTCAATAGGGGGAATCTGAACATATGATGAACTGATGGTATTTAGACTGGTTCTTGATATACACACAAAGAACCTAGTTACGCACCCCCTGACATATCTCACGATTGAATGAGCCCCTATCTCAACCCTTTGGAGCATATTTGGGACATGATTGGTAGCCGTGTGCAACAAAGGGATCCTCCTGTACAGAACTTGGCCAAACTGGAAGCTGCTTTACACGAGGAATGGCGTAGACTGCCCCTTCAGAGGATCAGAGGCTGATAGGGGGGTATGAGGAGGAGAGTGCTGGTTGTCATACAGTCACATGGAGGTTACACTGGGTATTGACCTTGAATCGTGTAAGACACGTAAAATACATTTTAAATGTTTCCATTCACCAATAAATTCAACATTAAACATTCCGGGGCCATACTTGTACAGACATGGTTTTGTCTGAAAATCAGTGTGTTCTTTTTTAAAATGAGCAATTATCATCATAAAATCAACATGGATCCCAATTATTTTGTCATTTTTATGAGTCAAAGGATCATACGGGTGAGGAAGACAAGGTCACCACAAGAAGTTTTTATGTACGTGTTGAAAACCTATCAGTGCAAATATACAAGGAGTGCTTAATTAAGTTCTTTGTGCATATTTTAGAGCCTCTGATGTGAAAATAAAGTTGTCATCCGGTAATCTTTAAGACATTGATCTGGACACAACGATAGTTGCAATTGAAACTGCGCCACCATCCTTGGATCCATCTGTGAATTACGTGTTACTTTATTCATGATATTGTTGTTGGTTAAAAAGTTGGTTAGACATCTTTAGTTTACGAACTGCCATTGTGGAGAAGAGAACAACTGTGTTGGGGCTCATTCGTGACCCACTCGTGTATTCTGGGACAAGCCGAATACTGATTGGAGGTTATGAGTTGGGGCAATAATTGCAAGGTTTATGTTTGCTGCAGAAATATTTGATTGTGTTATTCTTACTGAAGAAATTGGCGTAGGTGATAATTTTGTTATTGTAGATGTCTTTATAACGAGGATTAAAAACACAGTCATATGCAGCAATGAATTTATCTGAACGAATTTAGAAATATTCTCTGAAGGAAAGAAGGCTCATCAGCCACTGCCTTATATTCACTGAAACGGTGATGTTCTAATGGCTCCATGGCAACGCCTCAGCCCTTGAGGATGTATAGAATGAAACATTTTTATATCTCTTTACAAGCCCCACCATACATGATGGAGCCGCTATTATTATGGCAAGTGCCTTTGAGAATTTATACCTTAAATATTTGATATGTGACTGACAGATGAAATGTTGATAAAAATACCCAAGAACTTGACCTGTTTTACAATTTAAATAAGAGTACCGCCTAAAATATATTCTGTGTCCTTGTAAGGTATTATGTTTTCGACAACAGTGGATACAAGTTATATTTGATTTTGAAAAATCTAATTGCATTTTCTAAACACCAATTATCAATTCTATTCAGACTGAATTGGAGTTGACTTCTATAGCATGCATGCGTTTGCCAGAAGGAAAATCATAATCACCCACAAACAGCAATTCATTATCTGAATCATTTAAAACTAGCACTATCGTGAGACTGTTCAAGTACAGCACGGAGCTCATTAATGGAAAATATTTCATTTATTATATTCTCCATTGTCTAAATTGAATTTGATATCTTTCTTTTCTTTCTGTTCTTTTTTGGGTACATTCATAGAAGAGAATGACTGTTTCACCGAGTACATTCTTAGAAGAGAATGACTGTTTCACTCAGTACATTCTAAGAAGAGAATGACTGTTTCACCGAGTACATTCTTAGAAGAGAATGACTGTTTCACCGAGTACATTCTTAGAAGAGAATGACTGTTTCACCGAGTACATTCTTGGAAGAGAATGACTGTTTCATCGAGTACATTAATAGAAGAGAATCACTGTTTCACCGAGTACATTCTTCGAAAAGAATGACTGTTTCACCGAGTACATTCTTAGAAGAGAATGACTGTTTCACCGAGTACATTCTTAGAAGAGAATGACTGTTTCCACCGAGTACTTCTTAAGAAGAGAATGACTGTTTCACAGAGTACATTCTTAGAAAAGAATGACTGTTTCACCGAGTACATTCTTAGAAGAGACTGTTTCACCGAGTGACTGTTTCACCGAGTACATTCTTAGAAGAGAATGACTGTTTCACCGAGTACATTCTTAGAAGAGAATGACTGTTTCACCGAGTACATTCTTAGAAGAGAATGACTGTTTCACTGAGTACATTCTTAAGAGAATGAGTACATTACTTCTTGGAAGAGAATGAATGAAGAGACTCAATGACTGTTTCACTGAGTACATTCTTGGAAGAGAATGACTGTTTCATACATTCTTAGAAGTACATTCTTAGAATGAGAATGACTGTTTCACCGAGTACATTCTTAGAAGAGAATGACTGTTTCACCTTGAGTACATTCTTACGAAGAGAATGACTGTTTCACCGAGTACATTCTTAGAAATGAGAATGACTGTTTCACCGAGTACATTCTTAGAAGAGAATGACTGTTTCACGAGAGTACATTCTTAGAAGAGAATGACTGTTTCACCGAGTACATTCTTAGAAGAGAATGACTGTTTCACCGAGTACATTCTTAGAAGAGAATGACTGTTTCACCGAGTACATTCTTAGAAGAGAATGACTGTTTCACCGAGTACATTCTTAGAAGAGAATGACTGTTTCACCGAGTACATTCTTAGAAGAGAATGACTGTTTCACCATTCTTAGAAGTACATTCTTCTTAGAAGAGAATGACTGTTTCACCGAGTACATTCTTAGAAGAGAATGACTGTTTCACCGAGTACATTCTTAGAAGAGAATGACTGTTTCACCGAGTACATTCTTAGAAGAGAATGACTGTTTCACCGAGTACATTCTTAGAAGGGAATGACTGTTTCACCGAGTACATTCTTAGAAGAGAATGACTGTTTCACCGAGTACATTCTTGGAAGGGAATGTCTGTTTCACCGAGTGCATTCTTAGAAGATGG